AAACAAACTCGAATGTTAATTTTCTTACTACTTTCAAGTGTCGGAACAAAAGAAGAAAATAAGTTAAAAGACTCGAAAATAAAATTCCTCGCTCTTCTCAATTGCACGAACAAAATAAGAAATAAAATCATCTAAAACACACCCAAATAAAAAATTCCTGACTAATTTCAATTGCCGGAACAAAAAAAAGAAAAGTTCTAAACTTACCCGAGTTCAAAGTTCCTCACTACTCGCAATTGTCGGAAGAAAAAAAAGGAATAAACTAAAAAACACCGAAAACAATGTTCCTCACTGCTTTCAATTATCGGAACAAAAAAAATAAATTACCCGAATACAAAGTCCTCACTCTTCTCGAAAGCCCGAACAAAAAAAGAAAAAACTAAAACACTCCCAAAGACAAAATTTCTCATTAATCTTCAATTGTCGGAACAAAAATATAATAAGAAAAAAAACTAAGTTACAGCCATTTTCCTTACTACTTTCAATTGTCGAAACAAAAAAGTGAAGAGAAAAAAAAACTTAAACACACCCGAATGTTGAGGTCCTTGCTACTTTCAATTGTCGGAACAAAAAAAGAAAAAAACATAAGCCTACCAAATACAAAGCTCTTCACTACTCACAATTATTGGAGCAAAAATGTGAAAAAAACTAAAACACACCCGAATCTAGACTACCCCGCTACTCTCAATTGTCGAAACAAAAAAAGTGAAAAAACTTACTCTCATCCGAATAAAAACTCCTCACAATTCTCAATTTTCCGACTAAAAACAGAAAAAAAGAAAAAAACATTTAAAATATACCCGAAAGCAAAGTTCCTCGCTAGTCTCCCTTGTCGGAATAAAAGAAAAGAAAAAAAACTGAAACAAACTCGAATGTTAAGTTTCTTACTACTTTCAAGTGTCGGAACAAAAGAAGAAAATAAGTTAAAAGACTCGAAAACAAAATTCCTCACTCTTCTCAATTGCACGAACAAAAAAAGAAATAAAATCATCTAAAACACACCCAAATAAAAAATTCCTCACTAATTTCAATTGTCGGAACAAAAAAAAGAAAAGTTCTAAACTTACCCGAGTTCAAAGTTCCTCACTACTCGCAATTGTCGGAAGAAAAAAAAAGGAATAAACTAAAAAACACCGAAAACAATGTTCATCACTGCTTTCAATTATCGGAACAAAAAAAAATAAATTACCCAAATACAAAGTCCTCACTCTTCTCAAAAGCCCGAACAAAAAAAGAAAAAACTAAAACACACCCAAAGACAAAATTTCTCATTAATCTTCAATTGTCGGAACAAAAATATAATAAGAAAAAAAAAACTAAGTTACAGCCATTTTCCTTACTATTTTCAATTGTCAGAACGAAGATTGAAAAAAAAACGTAATCTTACACGAATACAAATTTCCTCACCATCGCAATTGTCGGAACAAAAAAAGAAAAATTAAGCAACCATATACAAAATTTTTTAACTAATCTTCAATGTCGGAACAAAATAAAAAATAAAAAAAACACATCCAAATGTTAGGTTTCTTACAAGTGTTGAGAAAAACGTGAGATTACCCGAACACAAAGTTCCTCACTTCTCGCAAATGTAGGAACAAAAAAGTAAAAACAAAATATAGTGAACCCGAACGTTAAGTTTCTTACTACTTTCAATTGTCGGAACAAAAAAGAAAAAACTTAAACTTACCCCTGTACAAAACCCTCACTACTCGCAATTAACGGAATAAAAAGAAAAAAGAAAAAATTTATCCGAGTAGAAATTCCCTCGCTACTCTCAATAGTCGGAACAAAAAAAAAAGAGTATAAATATAAAATTCACCCAAAGACAAAGTTCCTCACGCTTCTAAATTGTCGGACAAAAATATTTAAAAAACTGAAACACACTCGACTAAAAAAGTTACCACTATTCCGAATTGTCGGGAAAAATAAGGAAAAAAGCTAAAACCTATCCGAATGTTAAGTTCCTTACTACTTTCAATTTTCGAAACCAAAAAAAATGAAGAGAAAAAAAAACTTAAACACACCCGAATGTTGAAGTCCTTACTACTTTCAATTGTCAGAACGAAGATTGAAAAAAACGTAATCTTACACGAATACAATTTTCCTCACCTTCGCAATTGTCGGAACAAAAAAAGAAAAATTAAACAACCATATACAAAATTTTTTAACTAATCTTCAATGTCGGAACAAATAAAAAAATAAAAAAAACACATCCAAATGTTAGGTTTCTTACAAGTGTTGAGAAAAACGTGAGATTACCCGAACACAAAGTTCCTCACTACTCGCAAATGTAGGAACAAAAAAGTAAAAACAAAATATAGTGAACCCGAACGTTAAGTTTCTTACTACTTTCAATTGTCGGAACAAAAAAGAAAAAACTTAAACTTACCCCTGTACAAAACCCTCACTACTCGCAATTAACGGAATAAAAAGAAAAAAGAAAAAATTTATCCGAGTAGAAATTCCCCCACTACTCTCAATAGTCGGAACAAAAAAAAGGAGTATAAATATAAAATTCACCCAAAGACAAAGTTCCTCACGCTTCTAAATTGTCGGACAAAAAATATTTAAAAAACTGAAACACACTCGACTAAAAAAGTTACCACTATTCCGAATTGTCGGGAAAAATAAGGAAAAAAGCTAAAACCTATCCGAATGTTAAGTTCCTTACTACTTTCAATTTTCGAAACAAAAAAAATGAAGAGAAAAAAAAACTTAAACACACCCGAATGTTGAAGTCCTTACTACTTTCAATTGTCGGAACAAAAAAAGAAAAAAACTTAAACCTACCAAATACAAAGCTCTTCACTACTCGCAATTATTGGAGCAAAAATGAGAAAAAAACTAAAACACACCCGAATCCAGACTACCCCACTACTTTCATTTGTCGAAACAAAAAAAAATGAAAAAACTTACTCTCATCAGAATACAAAGTTCCTCACAATTCTCAATTTTCCGAACAAAAACAGAAAAAAAGAAAAAAACAATTAAAATATACCCGAAAGCAAAGTTCCTCGCTACTCTCTCTTGTCTGAATAAAAGAAAAGAAAAAAAACTGAAACAAACTCGAATGTTAAGTTTCTTACTACTTTCAAGTGTCGGAACAAAAGAAGAAAATAAGTTAAAAGACTCGAAAAAAAAATTCCTCACTCTTCTCAATCGCCCGAACAAAAAAAGAATTAAAAAAAAAACACACCCAAATAAAAAGTTCCTCTTTAATTTCAATTGTCGGAACAAAAAAGAAAAAAGCAACAAACTAAAAAACAACCGAAAACAATGCTCCTCACTGCTTTTCAATTTTCGGAACAAAAAACTTAAATTAACCAAATACAAATTTCTTCACTCTCCTCAATAGCCAAAACAAAAAAAATACTAAAACACACCCAAAGACAAATTCCCCACAATTGTGGGAACAAAAATGTAAGAAGAAAAAATTAAGTTACACCCAATTCCTTACTACTTTCATTGGTCAGAACAAGGGATGAAAAAAAAACTCTTACCCAAAAACAAATTTCCTCACTACTCGCAATTGTCGGAACAAAAAGAAAGAAAAAAAATAAACAGCCAAATACATAATTTTTTCACTAATCTTCAATGTCGGAACAAAAAATAAAAATAAAGTAAAACACACCCAAGTGTTAAGTTCCTTACTACTTTCAATCTTTGGAACAAATGTTGAAAAAAACTTAGTATTACCCAAATACAAAGTTCATCACTGCTCGCAATTGTCGGAACAAAAAAATAAAATAAAAAAAACTATAATGAACCCGAGTGTTATGTTTCTTACTACTTTCAATTGTCGGAACAAAATTAAACTTACCCTATCCTCACTACTCGAAACTGTCAGAGAAAAGTAAAAACTAAAACACACCCGAAAACAAAGTTCCTCACTAATCTCAATTGTACGAACAAAAAAAGAGATGAAAAAAAATACCCGAATACAAAATTCCTCACTCTTCTCACTTGTCCCAACAAAAAAAAGGAAGGAAAACAAAAAAGCACAATCCAAATTCAATGTTCCTCACTAAACTACTGATCTCAATTGTCGGAACACAAAAAAAAATCAAAAAATTAAAACACGCCCGAATGTTGAGTTCTTTACTACTTTTAATTGTCGGACTAAAAAAAGAAAAAAGTTGAAATAGCCGATGACAAAGATCCTCATTCTTTTCAATACTCCAATTAAGGAAGAAAAAAATTTAAAATAGCCCGAAAACAAAGTTATTCATTACTAGCAATTGTTGAAACAAGAAAGAAAAAGATCAAACTTAAAACACACCCGAATACAAATTTCCTCCTTACACTCGATCGTCGGAACAAAAAAAATTAAACATATAAACTTACCGGAACACAAAGTTACCTACTGTTCTCAATTGTCCAAACTGAGAAAAGAAAAAGAAAAAACAACTAAAACACACCCAAATGCAAAGTTCCTCTTTACTCTCGATTGTCGGAACAAAAAACAAGAAAAAAAACTTAGAATTACCCGAATGCAAATTTACTTACAGTTCTCAATTGTCGTAACAAGAAGAAAACAAAACTAAAACACAACCAAATACAAAAATCCTCACTACTCGATTGTACCAATAATAAAAAATAATGAAAAAACAATTAATACAAACCCGAAATGAAACTCCTCACTACTATCAGTTGTCGGAACAAAAAAAAGGAAAAAGAAAAAACTAAAACACACCCGAATGATAATTTCCTTACTACTCTCAATGTTCGGAACAAAAACAAAATTAATTACACCAGAATACAAAGCTCCTCATTCTTCTCATTTGTCCTAAAAAATGAAAAAACAACTAAAACACACCCGAATACAAAGCTCCTCACTACTCGCAATCGTCAGAACAAAAAAACCTAAAACACACCCGAATACAAAGTTCCGCCCCGTTTTTCAAATGGTCAAAATTGTAAGCTATAATTATGAATTGTAACTCGTAAAGAATTGAGACTTATTACGAGTTGAAACTTTTTTCCGTGTTTGTTGTTCGCAGGTATGACAGAGCGAAGTTGTCACAGAAGGAGATCCGAAAAGTGCAGTATGTTTCTTGCATGAACCCCACAGCCGGTAGTTTCACCATCAACCCCCGCCTGCAGGTTCGTTTGTTTATCAAGCAGAGTGTCGCCAATAAGAGGATCTGATTACTGTCATTCATATATATAGGCCGCCGATGAACTTACTCTAATTCGCAACTAAGTAATCCCTTAACTAAAATCCGAAAAGGGTCCATCCAGTTTTGATAAGGTAAATCGGTTAGGCACCTTTTTTGTTTACGTACAGATGCACAGTTTTTTTCAGTCAGGTTTCACTATCAGTTGATCGTGTATGCGCACATCAGGTGTTGCACCATTCGACTATGGAGACAGAGAATAATTTTCGCCTTGAAGCTTCGAGAGGCCTGTTGCTCTGATACATTGCTGATTTAAATCATCCAGAAAAAACGAATGAAACTCGAAATTTTAAAGCGCGTGTGTCACATTTAGGGGTGGATCTAGGATTTATCGACGGAGGGGGCGGATTTTCAAAAAAAAATCGAAAAATTTGACGACTTTTTTTTGAGGTCGACCAGTGCACAGTTTGGCCACATAATGCTAATTGATTTTCCGAGCTCTCCTAAAGCAGTAAAAAGACGCTGTTTTTTTGCCAAATTTTCTGCGCCGCAGGCAAATTTTTGAAAAAACAGGTCAAAACCTTTTTTGGGTACTTTTTGGAAAATTTTGACCAAAATCGTGTTTTTTTTGGCGCGCGCTCCCTGTCAAAAATAGTATATATTGGCGCTTAAGGCGCCTTTAGGAAATTTTTAGGGTCTGTCACCAAAAAATGGATATTTCAAATGGAAAGCTCAAAGGGGGTCAAACGCACTCTTTAGATCAGCAGGGTGTCGAATACCTGAAGGGAAAAAGCGTCCGCCCCCCCCCCCCCCCCTCTGATCTTAATAGTGTGAAAAATTGGAAAAGGACCAGTTATTAAAAACCAGTTAGTAAATCTAGAAAAATTTTAGGATCGGTCGGCCAAAAATGATTTCTTAAATAGTACCAAAGGGGGACCGTTTGGGTTGACAGGAGGTCGAATCCCTGAGGATCCGTTTTTGGTTCGCAAACTTGGGCCAGATTTTCCCAAAAAATAAATTGCAATACAACAGCTCTTAGCTCTTTTTGTCCTCATAATTTTTCGTCTTGATTTCTTGATTCAACTCAGTTTGTCATTAGCGCGCTTTAACTTTCAAGGTTTTTAATTTTGTCCGGATAAAATAAATCAGCACTGTATAGTTTTCAACAAGTTTATTGGGCAATATTCTAAATTTTTGAAATAATATTGATCTTCTTGCTGAAACTTTTACAATACTTCTCTAAAGCTTTGCACTGTATTTTTTGCTATAAAAACATGCGTGACTTTTCTTTATTGAATAAAAGCTGTATTGAAGTGGTAGACGCTAAGTTATTCAAAACCTAGAAGTCTGTGGAAACGCGCTATCGTTTTTTTTATCTCTACGCCTGGTAGAGAAGGTGGCTGGCTTGTTTGAGAATTTAAACGCTATTTTGAAATTGCTGTTTTTGTTATTTAAGCCTGATCATCCAAAAGTGAAAGAAACAACATACGGAGTTGTTCAGATCATCACAGAGAACCGCTGCTTAAAAATACATGCAATTGTATTTGGGGGCTTTTCTTGCCCCGGCCGAGGTTGTGGCTTGATGATCGCAGCCAAAATTCTTTTTTTTTCAGACAATCGTAGCCAAACTTGGCAGCCAAAATTCGGCGAGGCAAGGTGTCTGCGACTGAAGAAAAGCTTACCGCTACCGGTGCGACAAAACAAATGTTAAAAACGACCGGCGCGTGAAAAAAAAGAGCTTCGCGACCGAAAAAAGTTTCTTCGCGACCGAAGAAAAGTTAAAGCGACTGGCGCGACCAAAAAATTGTTAACAGGAATCTGGTTAAAACGACTTGAGAGTCCTTGATGTGGATCATTCTGTTTTTATTTAAATGATGAGTGTTGTTTTTTTACCATACCCCGGCTAATTTTTTCATCGTGCGCGACTAACTTTTTGACTATGCTGCAAGTATCTTGTTGAACAGGCTCCAACTGATTTTCGACAATCGCGAACGAGATCGTCGCGAACGAGATACGGTTTTTTTCCAGAAATATTCCTCAACAATAGCTCCCCTATTCAGCGTCAGAGTAAGTCTCAATACGCACCATGATCCATAATCATTTAAGATATATCATGGATATAACATGGCGCAGCCAGCAGCTCCAAAAACTACGCCTTTCCCGCAAAATATGTAGGCAGAACCACCAATATGGAACCAACAATTATTCCTCAAAAAATAGGCAAAGATGGCATTAATTTACAGAAATGGTTGAAAGCACAATCACCTCTGGTCAAAAACCCGCTCAAACCGGGTTTCAAACTCAAAATGAAGGGAGACAAGAACACACAACCAAGAGAAACGAGCCCTATTGGAAAAGCGATGCCAACATTATGAAGGAGAAGGACAACGGCGGCCAAACAAGTTTTTTCGAATCCAAGAAAATACAAAAAAAAAGAAACAACAACGAAGCAATATCGGACTAGCCTAAAATCTTTATTCAAGAAGCCAAGGAACGTAACATTCGACCGATACGAAGCATTTACCCGAAAACTACCTAAAACTGAAAGCTTGGAACAATTGTTGATGAAACTGTTGGTGAAGTTAGGCTTCGAATGTACATCGTGCATCGACACAGGGCTAGAAGCGGAAATAAAAAGAGAGTCGCTTACAGCCGATATGTCAAACGATCGAACTAAAAAAGGATCTGTTAGCGAGGCAAAAACGCCACAGCAAGCCTTTCATTATGCGAACCGGCGAGAAGTAGGTCTTTTAAAAACCAATCACAAATCAGAACGCGAGGCAAAGAGGGACCAACCTATTACACGCAGGTGAAAGAAGAAACAGTAGAGTTCATTCCAAAATGGGGTCAGATTAAAATTACGAGGTGAACTCGGTCGAGGAACATCCTAAAATAGAGGAAGTTATAATAGACAACCATCCGACCACAGCACTACCTGCTTTAATTGAGCAAACCCGTTAGAATCTGTATACCTTCAACAAAATCCCGCAACCGACGAGATAAGCAGTAAACGTGCAAAACATAGGCGTATTGCGAAGCTGTGCAAGACAAGGGGCGTTAATGCAAACCATGAGGAACAAAATCACGAGCAATAATATCAAGAAACTGATATGACAGTGTTTCTAAACTATTTACAGGCGGGAGACATTACTCCAGGTGGGAACTCCACCAATCGGACGACAGGACCACTAACTCGATCCGGTACGGAAACGAACAAGTTGGGGAGTCAACGAAAAGGACTTTAAAAATCACTTGTTATGTTTGAGATCACGACCTGGTTTTCATTACGGGCACATGTTCTCCCACAAAGTTTGTCACCAAAAAGACTGCAATTGTGCTGGACGATTCAGTCCGGGCGGCCAAAAAGAATTCAATTTAATGAGGACTATGAGGCGGATAGATTGGTCTGCTAAAAGGGATACAAGATCACGTCATTTGAACAAGTTGCGACACCAATTGAGTCAACAGAATCGACGGCGAACAACGCTTAATTCGTTTCCCACGATAATCAAAGAGTCAAGATCTTGAAAGAAACAATTCGTAAAAAACTGCAGATATTCTTCCAACTGCACCGGGAGAAAAACCAATATGATAGGTGAGCCAATTACATAACTGAAAATGTAAACTATGACGCTCAATTAAAGAAATGGGTAAAATCAACGTACACAAGCCTGTCCACACAAATAGGAAGAGAAAAAACCCAATCGTATACACAAAGTCTCTATCGGACAACAAAGCATTGCATCACAATTAGGAGGAGAACTCTCATATACAGACAAAAACAAGTCAAAACAAAAAAAAATCTTTCATAGTTCAGGGGAACATTGTTAAGCTAGAGAAGTGCAGCGATCAACAGTTTCTAAGCCTAATAATTAAAACTGTCAAAATGGACGAGTCAATGAAACTGTCGAAGCAAATCAATAGGTTAATCCGCGAGAAAAATTCTCAGATGCCAAACATGGGCATCCTATAGACAACATGGCTCAATTAAAACAGGAAGGAACAAATTAATCGGGATTGATATAATTCTGAAAGATGCGCGTCCAATATGCATACAGTCAGCTGAAAAGGGGCAAAAAAAATTCATCTTAATTGGAGAACAGGCAACAGGAACTTCTCAGATCCGAACGGGATTCTACGGGCTCACGGACATGTCCTTAGGGTTCCAAAAGCTATCGAACTAGAACTTGAAAACCGAACAGAAACCACATTGAGAAGTTGAACAAAGTGCTGGATTACTCTTTAGTAAAAATTTGGCCATCTCAGAGGAAAAATGCATGTTTGGGTGCAGATTATTTGAAAGGCTAGGACTTAGGGGTTACTGAGTACGGTACAATCATTGGCCGAAAAAATGGAAGCTATTCTTGAAACTACAACATCTAAAGACCCACCAACGAAAACAACCTAAAACTGAAAGCTTGGAACAATTTTTGATCAAACTGTTGGTGAAGCCTAATAATCAAAACTGTCAAAATGGACGAGTCAATGAAACTGTCGAAGCAAATCAATAGGTTAATCCGCGAGAAAAGTTCTCAGATGCCAAACATGGGCATCCTATAGACTACATGGCTCAATTAAAACAGGAAGGAACAAATTAATAGGGATTGATATAATTCTGAAAGATGCGCGTCCAATATGCATACAGTCAGCTAAAAAAGGAGCAAAAAAATTTAATTTAACTGGAGAAGAGGCAACATGCATTTCTTAGATCCGAACGGGATTCTACGGGCTCACGGACATGCCCTTAGAGTTGCAAAAGCTATTGAACTAGAACTTGAAAACCGAACAGAAACCACATTGAGAAGTTGAGCAAAATGTTAGATTGACTCGTTAGTAATATTTTGGCCATATCAGTTGAAAAATGCATATTTGGGTGCAGATAATTTGAAAGGCTAGGACTTAGAGTTACCGAGTACGGTACAATCATTGGCCAAAAAAATGGAAGCTATTCTGAAACTACAACTTCTAAAATCCCACCAACTTGAA